TTAAACTGTGAGTTTTTTGGAAGAGACGTTATTGCTGGTGTAGAATATAACTTCAAAGGTATTTTGTTATCTGGTCTGGCCGACAGTTTCTGGGAGAACTGCTAACGATAATTTACTGTTGGAGTGAATTTGACTCTTCAGTCCCTGTGTTTTTCCAGCTTGTCAAACTGTTGTTACTGTAAGAGTCATTCTGCTAAGTCTGTTATCTCGTGATCCTATTGTCTGGTCATCTTGTGAATATATTATTCTGAGAGAGCTGCTAATGAGAGAATGAAATAAACTTCAGAGGTGTTTTTGCTACCTGGTCTGGCTGACAGTTTCTTGGGAGAGCTGCCAACGACAATTTACTGCCGGAGTGAATTTGGCTCTTCAGTCCCTGTGTTTTTCCAGCTTGTTTACTGTGGCATTCTAGTCTCTCACTTTGTGGCCTGGGATGGGACAGAACACAAAGGGTCCCCAAAAGTGAAGAAATTGGGGTCAGGGAATGGAGACCGTTCTCTTCCCCCCTTTTCACTACGACGTCACCACCGGAAGTTCCAATATTTTCTTTAAGACAGAGTTCTCCCAAACTGGCAATTTTAAGACCAACTTGGCAATTTTAAGACTTGTGGACTTCAACTTCCAGTTCAATTTCCCAGCTAGCAAGGAATTCTGGGAATTGGAAGTCCACAAGTCTTAAAATTGCCATGTTGGGAAACCCATTTTAAGACTTTCCCCGCCAAACTAGAGTTTGCACAGAGGATGTCAAAAAAGGACCAGGCTTGGATTGCATTTGTGGTGGCCATCTTGACTTTTCTGACCTCCGGGCACATAGGAAAGAAGTCCAGTATTTCACAAACCTAGCCCTGTTGATCAAAGGATCCTGTTCATCAAACAACTACAAAAATAGATAACTTGAGTCAGCGGTTGGGTTGAGCTATGCTTTAACCATCGTGTATCAAATAAACCTCAATTGGTTGGATTTGCATTAAACCATGATTCACCCAACATATGCCAAAGGCCAAAACATCCTATGTTGGCTTGATGCATCTCATTAATCAGATCCTTTTTCTAAAAAAGCCAGCTACTAAGAGAGCTTCACTCAGCTGGGTGGGAGAGATACTCCAGATGTTTATCCTTGGGCTAAAATTCCCATAATCCACAACCAAGGGAGCTGTAGTCCAAAAGAGATAAAGTTTGGAAAGGCTGATCTATGCTCCATGTTGGCTGGTGAGGTTATCCACTAAAGCAGTGTTTTACAAACATAGCTACTTTAAGATGTGTGGACTTCAACTCCCAGAATTCCCCAGCCAGCATAGTTGGCTGAAGAATTCTGGGAGTTGAAGTCCATTTCATCTTACAGCTGCCAAGCTTAAAAAACATTGAAGACTCAGTAGGGCCTCTAGTGGCCAGGCACGGAATTACATATGAGAGCTGAATTTAATCCATATCCTATGCGCACATACTTATCTGTTGAACCTTTGAATAACAGAATTGGAAGGGACTTTAGAGGTCTTCTAGTCTGACCCCCTGCTCAGGCAGGAAACCCTATACCATTTCAGACAAATGGTCATCCAATCTCTTCTTAAAAACCTCCAGTGTTGAAGCACCCATAACTTCTGGAGCAAGTTGTTCCACTGATCAGTTGTTCTGTCAGAAAATTTCTTAGTTCTAGGTTGCTTCTCTCCTTGATTATTTTCCATCTATTGCTTCTTGTCTTGCCTTGGCATAGTGTTGTGGTTAGTCAGCAGCAGGTGCGGACAGCTGAGGAAACTGAGGACTCAGATGAGGGGCCAGGACCATTAGGGAGTGGACTGCTGCCTTCAGAGATTGTGGGGGCTGGCAGCAGTGATGAGGAGGTTCCCGAGGAGCCTGTGCCAAGTGCGTGTGAGTGCAGGATTGCTCAAAGGAAAGAACAGTTACAACAGCATGGGCAACTCGGGAGTGAGGCTGCAAGGTAATGGCCCCTGCTTCAAGAAGATAAAAGCCAGCTGTGAAACTAACCTTCTTTGCAGAAGGCAAAGATGTTTTGAAACTACAGCCCCGTGGACATTCCAGTATCCTGAGTTTGTATTTGAAGATTCTTAGTTTGCAAATTATTTCTTGTCTGTTATCTTTTGGCAAGTCTCACAGTTTGGCAAGGCTTGTGCTTATTACAGCTAATTCTTTTGTAAAAGCATTACAAGGTTTCTGTTCTTTTTGAATTGTGTTTGATTTGTCGGAAAAGGGCATGGGTCAGAACACATAGGGTTCTCCTGCTTGAGCAGGGAGTTGGACTAGAACACCACCAAGGTCCCTTCCATCTCTATTCTGATGGATTGATTGAATTCCCCAGCCCGCCTGCTTTTAAAGTTTTCAAATTTGAAACACACTGCCCAACCTCACAACCCAGGATCAGGAAAATGCAATGCTGAAATTCTTTTCTACAAAAAACTCAAGACTTTGCCGATTATCAGTTTACAGATTTCCACCACCGTCCAAATATCTCAGGTCAGGAAGATAAAGAGAATGTTAAAACTAAACTTTTTAGCTTCTGGTTTCTTAGGGACATTTTGCAAAGGGCAAAATGATGGATAGAGGCCTCTTCCAGGATACCTTGGGCCTTTATGTCGGTCGGTTCACCTAACTAAACCCTGAAATTTATTGGCTCTCTTGCAAACTTTGGTGGCCTTTCTAGGCTGTTTAAAAACATGGCGCGTCTCTATAGCTTGCCCATGAAAAAATTATCCCCCCCACTACACTGTGATTTTTAAATTTTGACTTAGCAGATTGGGTGGGCTGAGGAAATCCCGGTCGAATCTAAAAATGCATTACAGGTTGTCCTCGACTTACAACAGTTTGTTTAGTGACCCAAGTTACAACGGCACTGAAAAAAGTGACTTATATTTTTTCACACTTACAACCATTGAAGCCTCCCTGTGGTCATATGATCGAAATTCAGACATTTGGCAACTGATTCATATTTATGACAGTCGCAGTGTCCTGGGGGGGGGGGGCACGTGATCCCCTTTTGCGACCTTCTGACAAGCCAAGTCAAATAGGGAAGCCAGATTCACTTAACAATCGTGTGACTGACTTAGCACCTGCGGTGATCCACTTAATAACTGTGGCAAGAAAGGTCATAAAATGAAGCAAAATTCCCTTAACTGTCTCGCTTAACAACATAACTTCCGGGTTCAATTGTGGTCATAAGTTGAGGACGATCTGTATTAAACATACTAAGAAGAGGGTTCTAGAATAGCAATGAATGGTTTGCTCTATGAAGAGTCTGGTTTTTTTTTATTTCATAGGTTGTTTAAGCCAGAATAGAGTCTCAGTAATAAAGATTAATTTTTCTGTGCTGATAAATCTCACTTAAGTGATTTATTCTTGGCTGATCTAGATCTGGGTATTCATGCTTATCTTAAGAGCTTAACAGGAATTTCCAAGCTCTAAAATAATATATCCAACTATTTGTAGTTGACTGATACACTGGGAAAATGTAATTTCTATGGCATTTTAAATCCCTTGCTGATTTGTTTTTTACTGTATTGCTTTCACAATTTTTTTACACTGATGCATCTTCTTTACAAAATCGTAAGAAAAAAGGAGAAGGGGAGTAGAGGGGGTGAGGGAGGGAAGGAAGGAAAGAGGGAAAGATGGAAGGAAGGAAATGAGGGATGAAGGAATAAAAGAGGGGAAAGGAAGAAACGGAGGGAGTAAGGAGGGAGAGAAGGAAGAAAGCAGGGAAAGAAGAAAAGGAAAGAAACAGAGGAAATAAAGAAGGAAATGGAGGAAGGGGTGAAGGAAGGAAAGAGGAAGGAGAGAAGGAAGGATGGACAGGAGAGAAGGAAGAAGGAAGGAAACTGAGGGAGGGAAGGAAGGTAACGGAGTGACGGAAGGAAGGAAAGAAACAGAAGGAAAAAGGAAGGAAAGGGGCAGAGGGAGGTAGAGGAGGAGGGAAGGAAGGAAAGAAATGAAGGAAAGGAGCAGAGGGAGGTAGAGAAGGAGGGAAGGAAAGAAAGAAATGAAGGAGGAACGAAAGGGGCAGAGGGAGAGAAGGAGGGAAGGAAAGAAAGAAATAGGGAGGGATGGAAAGGGGGCAAAGGGAGGTAGAGAAGGAAAGAAATGAAGAAGGGGAGAGGGAGGTGGAGAAGGAGGGAAGGAAGGAAGGAAGGAAACAGGGAGGGAAGAAAGTAGAGGGGCAGAATCATGGAGAAAATGAGGGAAGAAAGGAATAGATGAAGGTAGAGAGAGGGAGGGAAGCAAGGAAAGAAACAGGGATGGAAGAAGGGAGGTGGGAGGGACAGAGAGTTCTGAAGCAAGCCAAGATAATTAATCATACATTCCAGGAAGATAACGGGGAGAGTCCATGGGAAGAATGCCAACAAAGATAAACCTATTTCAAAGGAAACACTAAACTTTGACTCCAGCAATTCTGACTACGCAGTTACAAACTTATATACATAGCTCCCAGCTGCAAGCCACGAGGATCATAGTAATCTCCTCCTGAGTAGACCTCACTTTTCCCTGATCATCTCCTCCGTGTGTGACCTCGGATGGATAGGGGATGGGCCTGGATCCTCTTCTGATTGGTCAGCCGGCCTCTGCCCTTCCCCAGCCTCTTCCACCACCTCTGGAGCCACACTCCCACTCCCTGTTGGCTGTTCCTCCTCTTCCTCAGAGTCAGTCTCCACCAGGGGCATGACATTGGGAGGCAGGGAAGGAAGAAGGCAGGGAAGAAAGGAAACAGGGAAGGAGGAAAGAAACAATGAGGGAAGAAGAAAGGAAATGGGGTAGAGGGAGAGAGGAAAGAATAGAAAGAAGGAAGGAAAATATAATTCCCCCCAATTTTCAGCACACAACCCAACATTTAATCCTTTGCATTTACTAAACAATATTTTATTTTCATATTATTCAGGGTTGCACACAGAAAGGCCTTTCGCCGAGTTTTGACAGCAGCTGGTGGAAGACGTCCAGAGAAATCAGTGTGTCCCCCCCAAAAAATGGAAGGGAGAAGGTGGGGGGGGGGGATGGAAGGGAGAGAGCCATGGCCTGCCTCAGACTTGTCCGGTGGTGGCCGCCACTTCTCGGTAAAACCGTCCAGCCAAATCCGGCATCTCCTCTTCTATCTGCCGGATAATCTTGTTGCTCTCAGCTTCCGACCAGCTATGGAACCACTGGTCCCAGAGACGCATCTGGCACTCGTAGATGGCGGGGGGCTTCCTGGATCCCACCTGGAGTCCCAAAAGGCTCTCCAGCAGGGGAAACAGCTTCCAAGGGACGGCCTTGTCCACCAGGTTTCGGAGGAAGCGTTCCCGTTGGGCGGGAGTTCAGTTGGACAGCCAGTGCAGGAGGCAGCACATCTCTTAGGCCGTCACGGATGACAAGGGCAGTGGCTCAGACATCCTGCAGGGAATGTCAGAGAAACAAGGGGGTGGGAGGGAATTTCAGCCAGCCCTTGACTTACGACAATATTTCCCCCCCTCCCTCTATTCCATCTTTCCTTCCTCCCTTCCTCCTTCCCTTTCCTTCCTTCTCTCCCCTTCTGTCTTTTTCTTCTTCCCTTCTTCATTCATCCTTCCAAGCAGGCAACACTCAAATCATTATCTATGTTAAATTATATATTTTCCTTCCTTTCTTCCTCTCTCCCTCCCTTTTCTTCTGTCTGTCCTTCCCTCCCTCCCTCCTTCCCTTTCCTTCCTTCTCTCCTTCCATCCCCTTCCTCCCTCTCCTTCCCTTCTCGTTTTCCCTTCTTCCCTTCTTCATTCATCCTTCCAAGCACACAGCACTCAAATCGTGTATATATATTAAATACGTTTGGAAAACAAATTTGGAGAGCCAATGGAATGAGGAAATGCTGAAGGGGCAGACACCAGAAAAGCTAGATTAGGGAGCAAAAATGTAGGAAAAATCCTATCCTATCTGGATATGTTATAGGTCCAGAGTCATAACTACATATCACAGACATCTGTACTGAAAATAAATCTGTTTATCCGCACACAGCATTCCCCAAAGATTGTTTTTATCCAGGAAATATTATCAAGAGTTTGGGAGATTAAACCAGCTGTGCATTTACAATGTAAAGCACCAACAAGCATCCTAAGGATACAATTAGCATTGCTAAATAACCAAAACAGGTTTAAAAATAACATGCAAATTGTATTAAAAGGGCCACTGCAGCATTTCAGGCAGTCCCAACTCTTATTTTCCCCAGCTAAATACCTGAACTCTTTCTAACAATTTCTTCCTTCTTGCTCCAAAAAACCCACATGCTATTATAAATATTGCGTAATGCTAAAATTTATAGATCCAAAGGGATAGAAAATATTTTTAGGGGGAAGGAAGGAAACAAACTTGTAAGAAATGGCCACTGCAGCCATGAAAGTAAAATTAAAATTCTCTTGGGGGGGGGGGGAGAAAAACTTGCATAAAGTGCTTTTTAAACTTTGCAACTTTAAGATGAGCAGACTTCAGCTCCCAGAATTAGGAAGGAAGGAAAAAAGGGGGTAGAGAGGGAGAAAGGGAATGAAGGAGGGAGGGGAGGAAAACAAGAAAGGGGAGTGTAAGAAATAAGTAAATTCAAAAATAAAATGGTATATAGGATGCTTAAACGTTTCACAAATGGGGGTTGGACTAGATGACCTTACAGGGTCCCTTCAAATTCTGTTAATCTGTTGTCAAATGAAATATATCCCTGTATATACAGGTGAAACTCGAAAAATTAGAATATGTGCAAAAGTGCATTTATTTCAGTAATGCAACTTAAAAGGTGAACCTAATATATGACATAGACTCATTACATGCAAAGCAAGTTAGTTCAAGCTGTGATTTGTCATAATTGAGATGATTATGGTTTACAGCTCATGAAAACCCCAAATCCACAATCTCAGAAAATTAGAATATTGTGAAAAGGTTCAATATGCTAGGCTCAAAGTGTCCCACTCTTATCAGCTAATTAAGCCATAACACCTGCAAAGGGTTCCTGAGCCTTTAAATGGTCTCTCAGTCAGGTTCAGTAGGAATCACAATCATGGGACAGACTGCTGACCTGACAGTTGTGCAGAAAACCATCACTGACACCCTCCATAAGGAGGGAAAGCCTCAAAAGGTAATTGCAAAAGAAGCTGGATGTTCCCAAAGTGCTGTATCAAAGCACATTAATAGAAAGTTATGTGGAAGGGAAAAGTGTGGAAGAAAAAGGTGCACAAGCACCAGGGATGACCACAGCCTGGAGAGGATTGTCAGGAAAAGGCCATTCAAAAGTGTTGGGGATTTTCACAAGGAGTGGACTGAGGCTGGAGTCAGTGCCACCACACACAGACAGATCCTGGACATGGGCTTCAAATGTCGTATTCCTCTTGTCAAGCCGCTCCTGAACAAGAAACGTCAGAAGCATCTTACCTGGGCTAAAGAAAAACAGAACTGGTCTGTTGCTCAGTGGTCCAAAGTCCTCTTTTCTGATGAGAGCAACTTTTGCATCTCATTTGGAAACCAAGGACCCAGAGTCTGGAGGAAGAATGGAGAGGCACACACTGCAAGATGCTTGAAGTCCAGTGTGAAGTTTCCAGTCTGTTGATTTGGGGAGCCATGTCATCTGCTGGTGTTGGTCCACTGTGCATCATTAAATCCAGGGTCAACGCAGCCGTCTACCAGGAGATTTTGGAGCACTTCATGCTTCCTTCCAAATACGAATACATACAAGGTATGAAAAAGACATTAAGATGGCTGGGTTTTATAAGGAATTGACTGAATACCAATTTATATTTGTCCCTTGTAACTCTAATGCTTGCTTTGTTTTGAGTTCACCCTTTTCGTTTAAAATTTCATCATATCTAATTATGTGTTCCTTTTTAAATAACCATGGATATGAAAAGGCTTCTAAAGTTGATAACCAGACTGGTATTTTCAAATAATGATAGTTTGTTATCTTTTCCCATACTGTTAATGAAGCATCTCTAATATAATGTCTCCTAAAATATCCATGTGCCTTACTTTGTACCATAAAAATGTATGCCAACCCAATTGTAAATCATGTCCTTACGTTAGTAATCTGGCATTTTTCAATACAATCCATTCCTTCATCCACATCAATATTGTTGCCTGATAATATAGTTCCCAATTGGGTAATCCAAAACCCCCTCTATTGCATCCTGCAATAGTTTTATCTTAATTCTTGTCTTTCTCCCCTGTCAAATAAATTTCAACATCATTTTATTTAAATCTTCAAAGTATTTTTTTTCAATCTTATTGGAATCTTCTGGAATAAGTATAATATTTTTGGCAATATATTCATTTTAATTGTTGCAATTCTACCTATTAAAGATAGTTGTAAGTTCTTCCATTTTTCCAAGTCCATCGCAATCTGTTGTAATAATCTCTCATAATTATCTTTAGTGTTCCACATCTAGCTGTCATTTGTATCCATAAATATTTCACTTTTTTTGTAATTTGAATATTTAATTTGTCCATTAATCTTTTATTTTGTTTTTTGTCATGTTTTTTGCCAAGTTTTTTGTTTTTATTTATTTTCAATCCTGCTACTTTACCAAACTCCTCTATTTCTCTAATCAACTTAGGGCCTGTTTCCAATGGTTCTTCCAATATAAAGACCAAATCATCTGCCAAAGCTTGTAATTTATATTCTTCCTTTTTTATTTTCATTCCCTTTATTTCTTCATTTTTCCTAATATTTCTATTCAAAACATCCAAAGTCAGTACAAACAATAGTGGGGATAGCGGACAGCCTTGTCTGGTTCCTTTTTGAATGTTAAAATTTTCTGTCAGTTCTCCATTTTTCATTACTCTTGCTGTTTGCTTGTTATATATCGCATTTAATGCTTCAGTGAACCTATCTCTTCAACACATTCTTCAGTTCAGTCTTTGTAAACAGCAATGGTTCATGCCCCACATTTCCTAGTCGTACCACAACTAACTGTAATGACCTACTACATATTGACTTTACAGAAGATAATGTAGAAAAGGCACTACGTAACCTAAAACCATCCCTATCTGTTGGCCCTGATGGATTATGTGCATACGTCTTAAAAAAGCTCTCCTCTGCCATAGCGGAATGCCTAAGCATTATATATGAGATATCATTCAGAACCAGCTCCTTACCAAACCTATGGTCCTTAGCTATAGTCATCCGTATCTTCAAAAAAGGTGACCCCAGCCTGGTTGAAAACTACAGACCAATCTCACTGTGTTGTGTCACGTGCAAAGTCATGGAATCAATCATTAACCAACTCATCACTCTCCACTTTGAGTCAAACAACCTACTCTCCAAAAAACAATTTGGTTTCAGGAAAAAATTGTCCTGCAATCTTCAACTCCTACACTGCAAAAACATATGGACTACTCTACTTGACCAGGGTAAAGCTATAGACGCAATTTACATAGACTGCTGCAAAGCCTTTGATTCAGTGGTACATGACAAACTACTGCTATAACTAAACTCTTATGGCATTTCCGGATCCCTTCATAAGTGGATTACTGTGTTCCTGTCAAACAGGCAACAAATAGTAAAAATAGGGAGCACTATATCAAACTCGGCTCGTTAACAGCGGTGTCCCCCAAGGCAGCGTTCTAGGACCCACCCTCTTTATACTCTATATAAATGACCTTTGCGATCACCTTATAAGCAAGTGCATCCTCTTCACAGAGGACGAAAAACTATTCAACACCACCGACAATGCTACTATCCTTCAAAGTGACCTTGATTATGTGTCAGAATGGTCAAACATCTGGCAACTCTAAATCTTGACCAACAAATGCTCTGTCCTACACATTGGTAAAAAAAATCAGTACACCAAATACAAACTAGGGGGATATGACCTCATTGACAATCCTCACTTTGTCAAGGACCTTGGAGTTCTCATATCAAATGACCTAAGCGCCAGAGCTCACTGTAACAGAATTGCCAAAAAGGCATTAAGAGTTGTAAATCTAATCTTACAAAGCTTCTCTTCTGGAAATATCGAATTGCTAACTAGAGAATACAAAACTTTTGCCAGACCAATACTCGAATACAGCTCATCAGTCTGGAATCCACACTGCATATTGGACATTAATACAATCGAGCGAGTCCAGAAGTATTTCACAAGAAGAGTACTACACTCGCAACAGAATACCTTATATCACCAGGCTTGAGATTTTGGGCTTGGACAACCTTGAACTACGCCACCTATGGTTAGACTTAAGCATAGCACACAAAATAATCTGCTACAATGTCCTACCAGTCAATGACTACTTCAGCTTCAACCACAACAATACAAGAGCACACAACAGATACAAATTCAATGTAAACTGCTTCAAACTCGATTGCAGAAAGTATGACTTCAGCAACAGAGTGGTCAATGCCTGGAATGCACTACCTGACTCTGTTGTTACATCCTCTAACCCCCAC